TGAAGCCAAATGATTACATGTTCCTGGGAATTATCCATTAACCAAGGCAAAAACCCTATTGAGTAGTAATTTAGGATTTCAAATTTTGCGATGGAATCTCCTCATTGAGTGACCTCAAATAATAATTAAAAAAAAAAGAAGAAAATTATGTGCATTATATATTTGTTTGAAAAAAAAAATGCTTTAAAATGGAATAAAGATTGTCTAATTTTTAGACAGTCAAATCTAAGTTGTTTAAAAAGAAAAACTATGAATTTTGAGTAAAAGAACAACTTTGAATTTTGAATTTTGTGACTCTTACGTGTAGCCCTTAAAAAGGTAGACAGTATCTATGCAATATTGAGGCATTATTTTTTTCTATTACATAGAGAATATATTTCTGATTTTTTTGCTAAGATTATTTTGTGAGTTTTGGAGATTACATCCCAAAAATTGAGATAAGTATCCCAGCATATGTTTTTCCTGAGGGAGAAAATATATAGCGCATTCCCTAGGGAGGAGGAAATCTTTTAGCTTAAAAGAATCCTCTTACGTGAATCTTTTTCTTTAGGATGCAAGTGTATAGATGCTCGTTTGGATAGGGCTGGCAATGGTTAGGGTGGCCCGGCCCTAAAACAGTAGGGCTTAGGCTATAAACTATGGCTTGATAACCGGGCTAGGGTTAGTACGTACCTGGCCCTAGCCCTGTAGGCTTGGCCTTATGGGCACAAGGGCCAGGCCGTGGCTACTCTCACGTTCGGAAGTATGATATACACGTATGAAAGAGGGAAAGTTGGGATCTCAACTTTAAATGTAGTGTCGTGATATTTAGGGAAACCAAGGGTAAAACAAATATTTTATAATGTTTATGTTTTTATCAAGAGATTTTTTACAAAGAGACCATTTATTTTTTGTACAAAGAGGTCACAATCACTTTTGTCCTTTAAATTTCAAAATGAGTAGTTGTAAGAGTGTCATTGAATAGACACAAAGTTCCCAAAAAAAATTCTCGACCTTTGTAACCCATCCTAAACCATCCAATTTGACATCTAATGAGTGTGAATACTTGTTATCTCCTTGAAAAAAAAATAAATGGCCTCTCTGTGGGCAATCTTTTGTTAATGCTAACCAGTAGGAATGAAACTTCTATTTAACGTTAATGGGTTAGAAATGAAATCTAAGAGATGTACACTACTTTGTTGCGTTCGTAACAGTTTTTCATAATTCAAATTGGTGGGGTGGATCGTCCACTCAACATATCTGTGTGTGATTCATGGATAGCCAATCCACATCGATACGAATGAATGATATAAAAATATAAAAAATAATTAAAAATTTTAGAAGAATGAGCTTATGCGAAGAGATTAAGGGGGGAACATTGGAAAATATTATATAAGATTAGGGGAAAAAATAAAATGAGAGGGGGTGGCGGTGGGTCAAAATTAGGCTGATTCCCAAGCCGGATTGGGATGGTTGGGTTTTGAAACACTGGCTTGTAGTGTACCATTTGGGAAGGATTTGCTATATGCTATTAACTTTTAATCGATAAAGAAAGGCAAAAAAGTTAGCCACATTATTGACTTGCCTTCCTTCTTTCTTTCTAGGTTACGGTCATCAGACCTAACCAGCAAGCCAATAGCATCGGCTGCAAATTTAATTCGTTAACGTAACATATATTACAAATAAGGGCACAAATTATAATGGTCAGACCAACTCAATGTCTCAAATCAACCCTTTTACATGTAAACTGGATAATATAATCTCACTCAAGGCTCTTTCTCACTTATTTTATCAAGAAAATACCCAGAAATGGAGAGAGTAATAGGAAACTATACTCAAATCAATGATTTTATTAATAAAATTGTTATTTTAATTAGATCATTCCGTTCAAGTATTACCTCACTTAGAGCTTCCTTCAAGAAAACAATGAATGGGGACAACGAGAATAATCAAATAAAGTGCAAATTACGATTATACCACACCAAATGTGCCACTTATATCAAGGAAATGATAGCATCACATTGTAGGGCTTATTTTTTAATTTACATTTATCTCATGTACATCATTAATAAATATCTTTAAAGGGATTGTCTACAAAGAGACTGTTTATTTTTTTATACATGGAGGTCACAATCATCCCACTCATTAGAAATTGGATGGCTCAAGGTGAGTCATGAAGTCCAAAATTTTTTTTTTGAAACTTTGTGTCTATTTAATGACACTCTTACAACCACCGATTTTAAAATTTAAGGGCAAAAAATGATTATAACATCTATGTACAAAAGATAAATGATCTCCTTATAGACAATCCCATTTTTAAAATATCCAATCACCCATGTTCAAGATGAGGAATTATGAACAAATAGAAATATTTTAGTAAGGGAAAAGATGGGATTAGCCCACTAGCTCATATGAACATATGAACCCAATGGCCCAGATTGAATCTAGGTCGATCTGACGATCACGGATGTCCGGTAATACTTGATTTTTTTTTTTCTACAGATCCAAATCACTTAAAATTTTAGGTGTGTTCTTCTCATCAAGGCGCACCTAATAAATAAATAAATATATATATATATATAAAGTATTCATGAAAATAAAATGACCAAAATACCCCTTCAAACATTTCAAGGGTATTTTGGTCAATTTATTTCATACAAAATATTTTTTTGATATTTTTCTAAGATTCACCTATTTTTTATAAACACGCGCCTAAAATTTCAAGTGATTTGGATTTGTAGAAAAAAAAAACTAAAATTCAAACACTACCGGACATCCGTGATTGTCTGATCGGCCTAGAATCAATATGGGAGGTTGGGCTCATACGTTCATATGAGCTAGTGGGCTAATCCCATCTTTTCTTTTTTAGTAATTTGACCTACTTATGTAGCCCTAACCAAATAATGGACATCCATGCACATTTAAGATCGGCCAAATTATTAAAATACTTTTGTTGTCGAGAGTTTCCAACCCTAGACAAGGGTAATTTAATCGGTCAAGCTTTCTATGCTTCCCCTAGCATAAAACTTATATACTTCCCTTTATCTAACCGTCCATTCTGAATGGAGGACTAAGATTGCCCCAATCATAATGTCACATCTCTACACTATTTTATTTTTTATTTTTTATTTTTTTCTGTAAACTATTTTGATACCAAATTTTGGACGTCCAATCCTATATTAAACTCGCACTAGCAAAAAATATAAAAAAATATATTTCCAATAAAATAAAATGACCAAAATGCCTTTAAAATTTTCAAACGGTATTTTGATCATTATATTTTATCAAGAAATTATTTTTAATATTTTTTATAGGTGCGTCCCAATGTGAAGATGGCAGGTACCAAATTTCATATTCATATAATTTGTATAAAAAAACAAAAAATAAAATACATTGAGACATCAGATCTAAGATCAAACAGTGAGTGGCTCTCTTGATCTAAATTAGATGGTTGGATGGTAGGGGAAGCATAGATCTTCTATGCTGTAGGGAAAGCATAGAAACCTTTCCCATTTAATCATTCATGAAATATTTTTTAGCAGTACCTGAAACCTTTTCCATTTAATCATTCATGAAATATTTTTGAGCGGCACCTCAGCCGACTAAACTGTCTAATCGTAATTGCGATTTTTTGACTTCTTTAATGATTTTGTTATGAGTTTTGACGTTAATAGCATTTCTCTAAAAAAAAAAAAACCCTACCTTTATTTGGGGTGACATACAAGTCCATTTCCGCATTTGTCCCTTGAGGCATAAAACAATAGTTTTAATATTCTATTCATAAAATTACCATTTTGAGTTTTAAAATTTTATTTATTTTTAAATATTCATGATCTTCATGTTGGAGCGTATACATTCCTTGGAAATTAAATCCAAAATCTGTATCAAAAGTGAATTTTTAAGAAGGGACTCATTTCTACACACGAGTTTTAGGACTTGTAGAAACCATATCCTTTTTAAAAAAAATATTTAAGATCAAAATGCCAAAAATTAGATAGAAACTCCATGGAATTCACTAAAAACTCTGGATTGGGATCAATTTTGTTCTAACTCACAAATGTGATAGATTCCTGGTAAATTCAGGAATTGAAAACCCCCTTCTGCTCTACACCGAATTATCTATGAAAAATAAAAAGATTTTCAATCTAAAAAATAGTGTATTTTACAACATATTATCTACACTGTTCATTTTCAAGATTTTCACATATTTATTATAGATCTACTTGATTTTAACCATTTTTTGAAATTTAAAATTTCATAATTAGATATAAAAATAGGTTTTAAGATAATCCTAAAAACATTTTCATCAAAATTATATACCATGATAAAATTTGAATATACACCTTACCTTTATAGCTACGTATGCATCCGTATGCCAACGGCACCAAAAAAAAAATAACTATGTGCTCCTTCTCCATTTGCTCCTTTAGGCAAAACCCACTCTAATTAAGTAGTTGTTTCGCCTGAGGGGTAAAGTGGACAATGTCTCCCACAAGAACATTAGTTTGAGTAATTATATGAAATAGCTAGGGTTAAAATGGGAAGTTGCGCAGTTGGACTATTTTGAGCTGCCATTCTTATTCTTCACACCTACAATTCTTTCTCTCTTTTTCGCAGTAAAAAAGAAAATAACAAATAAAAACAAAATAAATGATTTTTTATTAATTAAATGTTGGGGTGATGTATAGCTACTGGTTAAAACCTGCCCTTCCATTCCTCAACAACCACAGAACATTGGACTTAAATGCCCCTGTTGTCCTAATACTCACCAAAATTACCCTTACATTCACATTGAAATTTCATATGGATGATAATACCCCTGCCTAATACCCCTTGCCAGTGTTTTTAGTGGTTGAATTCCTCATGGGGGCTTTTTGATAATTTTGACAATATTAAGGGTAAATTGGTCATATTTTGATATTTGTTTCTCTCTCATGTCATTATAGGGGACACCTCTTTACATTGTATCTCTATAAAGGAGAATACATGCGGTTTTCTTTCTCCTCAATGCATGTGATTTACTCTCTCTCTCTCTAGAGTTTTTTTCCTCAAAGAGGATGGGAATTGGCTCTATTTCTCTGTCTACATGCAACTTGATTTTGGTGTTTTCTCCTCTGACTAAAGTTTCTTGCTCAAATGAGTATTCCAATCTGCTTTCTCTCCCTACATACAAGCTTGATTTTTGGGGCATGAGATGGGCTCTGTGATACTCATTTCAGCAAGCAACCTTACACTGGAGGTTATTATCATAAAGATGATTTTGGGCATCTCTCTCTAGGTTTGGGCAAGACAACGCTACCAGGTAAATCAAGTTTCTCTCTCTAGGTTGATTATAGCAAAAGAGAAGCTGATTCTTGGCAAGACAACATTACCAGGTATCTCTCTCTCTCTCTAAATCAGGACAGGTAAATTTTCTCTTTCTAAGGTCATATGAAATTTTAGCATATTTCCATATATGTAGCAGGTATTAACATGGAAGTCTTTTGCAACCGTCACTACCTAACTCTTTCTCTCTCTAAATCTTTCAGGTAGTTAGGAAGCAAAAATCTAACTCGCCAAAGGCTGGTTCCGAGTTACTGGTTCAATCGGCCTGACCTAGAAAGTCTTAAATGATAAAAAAAAAAATTAAAAAATCAAAAGTAAAACATAAAAATTCAAAAAAAATTACGAAAGTTAGATTTAAAGCATGATTAAATAGAGTACATCTAAATGAAGTTAAAAAGTACGAAAACAATTGATTTAAAAAAAAATCGATCGGTGCAAATATTTTAAAAAATATATGAAGAAAATGTAAAAATAAATATGCATTTCCATAATACTCTCCTGCTAAAGTGATAATAAACATTCAAAAATACATTACAAATAAATCTTTTATTTTGTGAGATTTTATATATATTTTTCACATAGCTCTTTTTATAAAAAAAACGCCTTTTGTTTTTTAGTAAAAGTCCCGTTTTTTAGTGATATCCTTCGGTCTCTTAAAATATCAGACGGTTTGTCTAAAGGCCGTATTGGGTACGTGGGTGGGGTCCGACTCCGAAACCGGGTTTAGTTGGGATCGGCAGGGCCCTGGTTCCGAGTTGAAACGGCCGTTATTGCGAACACGGTTGGGAAGTCACAGGGTACCTATTTCTCTCTCTAAATTTTTTGGCAGGTGGTTAAGTCCCTCTAATGCATAATAAGATCGACCGCTCATATTAAGTTGAGGGTGCAACCTGATGCAGGAGATTATCAATGGAGTTTTGGAAGAGATTGAGATATATGCCGGTAACTCTCACTTCTCTCCCTCTCTCTAAAACTCTCATTCTTTATTTCAAAAAAAAAACCTCTTTCTCTTTGTTTTGGGTGGTGGAATCGAACTTGAAATTCTTTCTCTCCCTCTCTCTCTCTAAAAAACCTCTCTCTCCCTCTTTTGCTTTTGAGTAGTGGATTCAAACTTGAAATTCTCCCTCCTCCTTTCTCTCTCTAAAACTCTCTTTCTCCCTATTTTGCTTTTGGGTAGTGGAATCTCTCTCTCTCTCTCTCTTGTGAAATGGAATCGAACTTGAGACAAGTCGAAGTCTTCAACAAAGCCATGAACCAAGCCTTTTTATTCAGACATGATAATCATCGAGAGGGGGAGAGTGATTTCGATCTCTCTCTCTCCCTATCCCTCTCTTCTCTCTCAAACTGTTTCTCTCTCTAACTGAAACTGATCTTCCAAATTTGAGGGATACACCCTCTCTCAGTATCTCCTCTTTGTAAGTCTGTGTTATTCTCTGAATAAATATTTATCTGTTTCTCCATGACTAAATTTTATTCATAAAATGGGCTTTCCATGGTAATCATCTTGCAAGCGACCGTAGTCCGTATATATTGATCCCAAGATTATCAGATTCTCAAAATCTAGCCCCTTCACAACTCTTTCTCTCTCTCGGTGAATCTCTCTCTTCTGTCTCCCTTCTCTTTCTCTCTACATCGATTCTGATTCTGATGCATGAGATAGTGCTGTACTTTAGTCTAGAGTTTACATGTCGATACAATGGCCATAAAATCATGTATTTACTCGAAATTCTCTCTCTCTACCTCTCTCTCAGGGTGGATTGCATAAGCGAAAAGTGGTAAAATTTAAGAACCCTTTTAGATGAGGAAGGAAGAATCCTAAAAGTTGGATCTCACCAAGATCTCTACTTAATTAGTTAAAAATAAAATAGGAAAGAACACGAGCCATAATACGAAAAATAAAAAACACAAAACTTTAATCCCACCAAGAACGTATACTTATCCAGTTGGAAACAAAATAGGGGACTAGTACATACACACTACAAGAACACAAAGATTTACGTGAGGGCTATATCCACAGGCAAAAAAAACTTGAAATTCAATATAACTATAAAAGTTATATCATAGATTTTAGAACATAGACTTGTATCTCTACCTCTCAACTAAACTCAATCAAGCAAATTCTTTTAGGCCCGCTATCTCATCTTTATTCTAGGGCTAGGTATCTCATCTCTATTCTACGGTCCAGGAGAGCAATTGAGATTTTCTGTCACTAAAAGGGGAAATCATTGAAAATATTAATGGGAAACCAACCTCTCAATTTATAGGAGGTATATCTTGGTGTTTCTCTCCATATGAAGCTTTCTTTTCTCTGAAGGGGAGGCTTTGCCTCTCATGTACAAGAGATATTGCCTCTCTCTCTAGAGGAAATCATTTTTCCCATATGATGATCCAAATATGACACACATATTCTTTACACATTCATTATATATATATATATATATATATGTGTGTGTGTGTGAATCCATATCAAATAAGAACCCATATGGTAACCCAAATATAGCACAGATATTATCTGCACTTTCATCCCATATAAATAAGATTTAGAATCCACATCAAATAAGAAACTTATTGTCGATATTACATGTGTATCAAGAAGCACGAGATATATCCTAGAGTCTTAATCTTTTTGGATTTTTATTTCTTTTAGTAAACTTATCAATATCAATTTCAATCCCACATAATATGAGATTTTCTTATGTGAGTGATTTTGAATATCACCATATTCAACAATCTTCACCTTGATATCAAAATTACCAGCTCACCATGCCAACTTCCAATAGATGGCTTTATGAATTTATCATCTTTTATTAAATAAATTCTTTCATCATTCTTGTTGGAAAGATTATGCTTGCCATCATATTTCTCCACCTCAAATAAAATGCTCGCATACTGTCATATACTTTTCTTCAACCAAATGCATAAACACTAGCTTTGTACTAAATCATGTACCCTGACACTACTTGTTAGAATTTAAAAACCCTCTTAAATGCGGAAACATGAATCCCAAAAGTTGGATCCCACCAAAATCGTGAATAAGAAAGAGCACCAGCCATAATACAGCTAGAAACAAAATAGTAGAGAGCACGAGCCATAATACGAGAAATAAAGCATGAGACACATACACCACGAAAACACAAAGATTTATATAGTTCACCTCAAAAGGGCTACATCTACGGGCATGATAAACTGAAATTCGCTATATCCATGAAAGTTACATCATATATTTTGAGACATAGAGTTACCACTCTACCCCTCGACAAAACCTAGTCGAGCAAACCCTTTTAGACCCGCTCTCTCATCTCTATTCTACAGCTAAACCACTGTCTAATAAGAGATCATCTCTAGTTCACAACTAAACAATTGTCCAAGAGGAGAACATTTAAAGCTCTCACTAAAAGAAGAAACCACCCATAATATTCATGGGAACCGCTTCTCTATAATACCAGCATCTCAATCTAAAGGAGGCACGTAATGACGTTGTCACACATGTACAAGAAGCCATTGCCTTTCTCTCTAGAGGAACTCACATTTCCCATATAGTGAATCAAATAGGGTGCACATATTCTCTGTACTCTCATCGTATTTATAAAAGAAAAAAGGTTATATAAGGTTGCAACTTTAAAATGTAGAATTACATATGCACCTAAAAACTCCATCAGAAAATATTGTTATAATGTTGAAAAACCCTCTAATTGATCGTCTCGACAACGAGTTATGTGAATATATAAAAAAAAAAGAGATTTTGAGTCCTAAAAATGACGCATCTTGCGACACATTATCTAGACCGTCCATTTTTAAGATTTTCATATGTTTATAGATTTATTTGATTTTAACGATTTTTGAAATTCAAAATTTTATAATTAGATATGAAAATAGATTTTGAAATAATCCTAAGAATTTTTTGCACCAAAATTACATGTTATGATAACATTTGGAGGTGCGCTTTAATTGGATTGTTTAAGGTTGCAACCTTATAAAAACCACACCCTTTATATAATATTAAGAATCCATATCAAATAGAAAACTTCATATCGATGTTACATATATCTCAAGAAGCAAGAGCTATATCCCAAAATCTTAATCTTTTTAGATTTCTATTTCTTTTAAGAAACTTATCGATATCAATCACAATCTCAAGATTTCCTTATGTAGATGATTTTGGATATCACCATATCCAACAAAAAGGACATATGGATGCAAATTTGCCTACTCACTCTTGGCAAGAGACTACAAATTATAGTATGATTTATATACGGACCTTAATTTTTTCTTAAAATATGAAATGCTCCATTTATAGATGGAAATTATACAAAAGGTCGGTTAAACTGCTTTTTTTTCAAAATTGTCCCTTGGTCTGAAGACATTTTCATACCAAATTTTATTTTTTGTTTTTTCGATAGTAGGGCACTATCCTAAAGGTTGGGCACTATCCTACTAACAAAAAAAACTAAAAAAAAAAAACTAAGATTAAAATTTGGGCCAAAGATTCCATCCTTAGACCAAGGGGTGATTTTGAAAAAACTAAAACAAAACCGGTAGACCGACCTTTTTTGTAATTTTTTTTGTTATAAATAAAAAATTTTAAATTTTAGAAAAAAATTTAAGGTCTATATGTAAATCCCAATATCGGCCAATTCAACGCATATTATGAAAGAATTTCTTGTGTAATGTGAGAGATTCTTTAGCTCTTTCACGTGTTTTTTGTAGACAGAGAGAGTGGGGGGAGATCATTTTGCATGTGTTGCTAGAGAAAGTAGCAGCTTGCTGCTATACTTGGAATCCCATTCTCTCTCTCTCAAACCATACTTGCTGCACGTATGGTATGGAGAGAAAAGATGGCGGGTTCACTGTAATGGTGTTTTTATTAATATTTTCTTAAGTTGCTCTCTTGTCTGGCCATTAAAATACTGACAAGTGACTACTACTTTCTTTTCGAGTTTTTTTTGTTTGGTATATCAGTAGGGAATACAGGCCTCTTGGTTTTAGAAAACCTAGAGATGGAGATAAGGCTCAAATGGTGCTACCACCACCATCTCAAGCCCTTTCTCAAAATTGGCAAGTAAGTGGGAAAAAATATACAGAGAAACTACGACGAACGTAACGTTATCGCAAGAAAAGTTATGCCATGAAGAACAGTCATCAATGGAAAAATTATAAATCTGTGATCATTCAAGCCCTCTTCCTCTTCCTCTTCAATCAAGAAATCAGTATATCCATTCTTGCTCTTACTTGAAGGAGCAGACGCCTGCCTTTCACGGGATAGCTTAACACGAGCAACAAGAAGCCACTGAATTAGAGAGATCTAATCCGATAACTGCAGCCATCGGAATAAGAATCTCAGTTAAGGTTTTCGATAATATCGCAGCTCCCATGGCTGATTTTGCCTCAAAAAAAAATGCTACAAAAGGTGAAACAGAGGTGAAATCCGGCCAAAACAGCCTTGTAGACAAAAATGAAAAAAAACAGTTAGGATTTGCACTTCAATTTTTTTGTTTCTGTGATTTGAGATGAGAGGGTACATACATTCCAGTTAAGAAGAACATTGGCCACATCGGTGAAAGACGCTTTCAGAGATAGCAAACCTCTCCCTGCAACTCACCACAAAATTCAAAATCTCAGCCCGCATAAACCTGTGCCAACTATCTCTCAAAGAATTCCCCTCTCTCTCTATCAGCTGGCAGCAACTACCAAGCAAAAACAAGTCTCAGGAAGGCCCAGGCATTTGAGACTCCTTGATTTCTAGCTACTTGATCTCTCTCGCAAGAGAATCCTTGATTTCTAGCTACCAGTCATCAATCAACATACTGCAACGTTCCTCAGAGGTTATTTATCTTTCTGAGCACAATTATTGTTAGCTCTTAAAAGTCAATTAACTCGAATTAGATTTTTATTTAACTTTGAGTTTAATCATTGACATCCAATTTAAAATTCGATAGACAAGATTAATTTCCTTATGAAAAAGTATACATGAGACCATTTATCTGAGGTAAAAGGTGGGCGCAATTGATCTTGATCATTAGATGCGAAATTAGTTAAATGCATTTATTCCATTGGCCAAACTCAAACTTCAAAAAGAAATTTTTTCCGTTGTGACATATCCAAACTATCAAATTTCACATCGAATGGTTATAAGTAATTGTGCCTACTTGTATCAAATGTTGATAGTCTCATTGTTTACTATCTCTTTCTTTAAATACTTTTCCAGTTTGTACTTATTTATGACAACTAAAATAAAGAGTGATTTACGTATGTACCCTAAAATTTTTTCTAAAATACAAAATACTGCGTTTATAGATTAAAATTACAGATGTCGGTCAACCACATTTTTTTCCCCAAAATTGCCCCTCGGTCCTATAATTCCATCCTTGGAACGATTTATTTTTTTTTTAGTTTTTTGTTTGTAGGAAAACTAAAATTAAAATTGAAATTAAGACTTAATTTTTAAAGACATGTAATCTAT